TTTTTACAGGAAGCAAAATATATGAAACAGTCATCAAATCGAAGTGACATAAGAGACATAAAATACATTTTTTTTTTACATTCAGTAAAAAACAAATTTCCTTATCCAAATTATGAGTACTCGTAAATCTCTCCTCTATCAAATTATTTTCATGTTGAATTAATAACTTCATTTGACTAAATTTGTAAGGTTATTTTTTATAAAAATTAAACTTATCATTACATCTTCTATTAGAAAGTGAAACATATCACTTACTTTGTCTCTAATGTTTCTTTTACTATCAATAAATTATACATAAAATAATATTTTTTTAAATTAAATTAAAATTTTGATTCTTTGTTTATAATTTATAACAAATTCTTCTTAGATTTTCTTCCATCCTTTTTGGCACAACTAATATTAGTTAGTTTGATCTGTCTTACCTATAAACCTCTTCAGTATATACTCACATCATTATAAAATGATTATTATTTATTTTGTTTTTAATTAAAACTTAATTATTTATAAACAAAGTTATTATATATATTTCTTTCATATATCAATATTTTTATCTCAGTAATATAAACTTTTTATATCTATAATATTTTAATCCAATCAATTTAATTCCTACCTACAATTTGTATACATTATATAATTAAGTCTTAAAAAAAAAAGTCACTATGATGTGGTGATATATCCCTGTTGGAAATATCTGTGCAAATACAATAAATATGGTTGAGGGATCAGAGTTCAAATATGATATATAAAGGAAATTAAACGAATATATCCCTGTTGGAGGGGTTACAATACAATTCAGAAGGTATAGAGGCTTATTTGTAAATAATGTAATGTAAGATACGAAATATCAGTTAAAGAGGTGACAGCACAAATATGGCACGCTAAAGGTATCTATATGTAAAAAGCCATCCTTTCATCGTCTTCCCCCTCCGTTGCAAGCCCTAATTTGGAGAGCGTGAGAGAGAGAGATGTTCTTCCACATAACTTTGGAGCGCAACATGCAGCTCCACCCACGTCACTTCGGTCCCCACCTCCGCGACAAGCTCGTCGCCAAGCTTATGAAGGACGTCGAGGGCACCTGCAGGTATGCAAATCTTGCTGAGACTGATCGAAATATCCTTCCTTTGTGAGCTCTTCCCGAGAATTAAACCTTTGGATCTATCTATCCATCTAAACCCTGCGGTAGCGTTTGTTATAGCTGACGTTGTTGTTGTGGGGGCAGTGGGCGGCACGGGTTCGTGGTGGCCATCACGGGGGTGGAGGACATCGGGAAGGGGCTCATCCGCGAGGGCACTGGCTTCGTCACCTTCCCCGTCAAGTATCAGGCCGTGGTCTTCCGCCCGTTCAAGGGCGAGATCCTTGAGGCCGTCGTCACCATGGTCAACAAGGTATGATTCTTCCCTCCTTTTCATAAAAAAATGGACCTTTTTTATTTCCTCCTTCAATCCCATCAAGTGGTGTTGCCTATGTTGTTCGTTTATTGTAGAAAGAATATGATGCCCACTTTGTGTTTGTTTTTATGCCTGACGATGTTCTGTTTCTTTGGTGGGACTGCATGCAGATGGGTTTCTTTGCCGAAGCAGGGCCTGTCCAGATCTTCGTATCGAATCATGTGTGTGGAATTAAGAACGCCTATCAGTATAAATCATGTAGTTGTTCAGTTAATGTTCTTCAACAATGTTATGGGTTGTTACTGCCCTCGTTCTTCTTCATAGAGTTCCATGTTCCTTGTAGCCTATTGTTTTCACTTGTATTACAAATTTATTGCCATCTCAGTGCATGATCTTTTTATTTTTATACATATCTGATTATTGTTTCTTTATCTTTTCCAGTTGATCCCAGATGATATGGAGTTCCAGTCTGGAGATATGCCAAATTACACAACATCTGATGGATCTGTATGTTGCCTTCGACTCTTCGCTCTATATTGTCTGTGTAAATTTTTGGAGTTATATTTTAGCATAATATAGTAGTATATCATTCTCAAATATCATTGTGATTTGTAATGTTTGATTAGTCTGATGACTGTTTTGCTTAGTCTACCATTATCATGCCGCCAATTATAAACTCAATTGTTTTTGAGCTGCATATGCAATTTGTTTCCATTCAAAATGTAGAGGCTTGAAGCTACTTAATTCGTAGATAAGCCGATTACTCGAAAATGGCATCCTGGTTTGGCTTTTAGAGATTGACTAAGAGAACAGTTTGGCTGGTGAAGACAAATTGGAAGTTTGCCTTTAAGCACACTGGTCTGTTTTTAGTTTTTCAAAGTGTGTTTAATACTCTTAGTTAGTGCACAAATATAATGATTTACGTTGTTGATTTCAATTTAGATTTCTGCAAATAGGTCGCAATCTTCCAAAGTTATGTTGGACCCATAAGCATGGGTTTCCAACTGAGAAGCATCGATCCTACCAAGCATGTTGTACCGATTCAGCTTACTGATATGGGTCTTGTAATAGGCCAAGCTTATGCTTACACTCTAAGAGTTAATTTAAAATAGCAAGTTTTGTTGCAACAAATGATGTTATAAGCAAGTAGTTCCAATCAAGTAGTTGCTTTATATACGTAAAGCAAAATGTCTTCATTTTGTCACTGAGCATAGGGTCTTAACCATTTAGGGTCATCTCCTTTTTATAATGAAACAAATAAAATAAATTGGGTAAGTATATATGCAAGTTCTTGTTTGGAGGCCTCTTTTGTTCATTGCTTTATAAATTGTAGGAATCAATTGTTCCGTATGATAATGGATGAACTTATTAGTTATTTACATGAGAGACCTCTTTGGTGTTTGTTATTTGCTTATTATATTGTCTTAGTTGATGAGAGTCTAAGTGGAATTAATTGTAAACTTGAGCTATGGAGGCAATCCTTAGAAACTAAAGGTTTTAGATTAAGTATGAATAAGATTGAATATATGAGATGTAATTTTAGTAATTCTAAGAATAGACAGGAGAATATAGTTAAATTAGATAGACAAGAGGTTCTTATAAATGAAAGGTTTGGGTATTTTGGATTAATTATTCAACAAGATGAAGAGATCAATGAAAATATTACTTATAGAGTGAAAACAAGATGGTTAAAATAGCGATGAGTATTATGAGTATTGTGTGACTATCGGGTATCTTTGAAATCAAAAGAAAAATTTTATAAGACAATTGTGAGACCAACAATGCTTTATAGATATGAGTGTTGGATGGTTAAGAAACAACATATACAAAAAGTTTATGTTGTCGAGATGAAAAATTTGAGATGAATGTATGAAGTTACTAGGAAATATAGAAAAAGAAATACTTTTATTCGTGAACAATAAGGTATCATTTCGATACAGGACAAGATGAGAGAAAATCGCTTACGATAGTATGGGCATGTGCTTAGGAGACCTCTAGATGCGGTAATCAAAAGAGGTAAAATGATTAATGTTAATGGTACAGGAAAAAATAGAAGATGACCTAAAAAGACTTTAATAGATTATATAAATAAAGACTTAAGTATTTTAAACTTAACTAAATATATAATTTTTTACAGATCTTAATGGTGGCAAAAGATTATGTCGTCGAACCCAAATAGTTAGGACTTACGGCTTTGTTGTTGTTGTTGCCGTAATCAATTATTCCATGTTTGTGAGTATTATTTATGTAATGAATTAGGGCCTATTTTGGATTCTTTTAATTTTCTGTCTTTGTAGGGACAAAAAGAACTGATAGATGGGGAATGGAATTTTGGTTTTGTGTAAACATTTATATTCTTAAAAATTACAAATAAAAAGAAAAACAGAATAAATACTAGGTTTGCGACAACCAAAATTGTAACGTTGATGTTCCTAGTCCTCTTTCCCATAGATAACCCCCTGTTCTTCATTCTAAGAAATGACAATCAAGTGACCACCAAACTTGTCTAGAATAAAAGTCAATATAAAAACACAAGTAAATTTTAATTTCTTTAACCTGAGAAACAGAAACATTGCAAGGGTCTGCACTGTAACTGATGATTGAAGCAAATTGGGTCTCCTGAATTTTACATGTAAATGTTACTCGGTGCTTTGGTTCTAAGTTGTTGAGACAACATTTTGCGTTAGTGCAAGAAATCCTTTGTTGTCGCTCTGTTCATAATTTTGACATGATGATCAAGTCATTCTAGCTGAAATGCGTCTCAGTTAAATTGCTTTCTTGTTCTGCTCTTGAGGGTAAGAAGGTACTAAAATGATAGCACTGTGATTCTCTAAACTTCTATTTTGATTTGTCATTTTGATGCATTTCAGGTCAAAATTCAGAAAGACAGCGAGGTTCGATTAAAGATTATTGGGACTCGTGTTGATGCCACAGAAATTGTACGTCTTCTTTTATTTTCTACTTGTATACATTGATTTTGTTAATAGCAAATGTACCCGAAGGTTGTTATGTTCAAAATTAACACAACATTGTTAACTTATGTGGGTGAGAAATCAAGTTAATGAAAGTTAAAGAATAACTAGGATGATCTCCTTTTCTGGTGATGGCAGCATAAGAACTTTCGTCAAGGGCATTATGATAAAATATTTTTTTTTTCTAATGGTTGTAACATTATCTCTATTCACTCTTGATAAGAACTTTCAACAAACTTTGGCATATTTGACTATTCCTTTCATAAACATTGCAACCAATTTTATTTTGCTTGTAACTTGCTTCAACTTGCTGTGGCCTTGTGCATAAACTTTCTATGCACTGGAGTATAACGGTTTGGCATATGCATGTATCTTTGAAATTTCTATTATACAGTGTATGCTGGTGTATATATATATGTACATGTCTCCTCACTACCTTTCCTTCTTTATTAACCAATAATTATTAGTCTGATTTGCTATTCTCTAATATAATCTTCTTACCTTGCAGTTTTGCATTGGCACCATAAAAGATGATTTCTTGGGTGTCATCAATGATCCTGGTGCTTCTGCTTAATCAGCCATCATTAGGTTCCCCCACTTTGCAACTGCTATGATGTGGTGCCGCATGAATTTTTCTGTTGTTAGATTATAACTTATGTGAAAACTTGGCCGAATATGTCGCATAATTGTGGAGTTTTGCTACTTTTAGTTGGCTAGGATATCTTACATTAATTTTTGTGTATATGGAGCTTCAACCTTCCTAATTTTCCACAGTGCTGACATTTTGCAACTTGAATTCACGAGTATCTAATTATTTTTTTGCTGAATTAGCAAAATGAATCCAGGACATGTCGAGTTGGAACCTGAACTGTCGGATGTATTTTTATGCAATCAAAATTATGACAGTCATATTTTGTTCCATCCTGTTCTGATTTCTTCAGTTGAGGTTTAAAGTCCTTTTTCTTTCAAAGAAAATCTCTATGATGGTTAAAAACAATCATAAAGATAATTATAATTAAGGTTATGTGGAATTTTAGCATCGATTGGAATAGATGATATACTCAAATCAAAACTTTCTTACAAATCAAGCAAAGAATAATAAAGGGAAGAATCTGCTATGATGTATCGACTAATATGTTTTTAATTTTAAGAGCTTTTTAAGTTATAAAAAACTCCATTTTAATTTGTTTAATGAACTTGGAAAATGTTAATTGATTTATATTTTCCCAAGCAAAATAAAATTCATTGAGCCTTATTGTTGTCTATTTATTGTATACAACAATAAATAGGATTCATTGTTGTCCTATTTATTGTGGACAACAATAAGTTATCCTGTGATTCAATCACAAACAAAGAATCATAAATCTAATCCCAAATAATCGATATTTTATGACTTTAGATATCAACGTTAAAAATAATTATATAATTGACTCAAATAATTAAAGATATTATGACTTCGTGCTATAATTCCATGTGGGGCCCGCCCTTGGTTCACACCAACCATTGCGCGACTGTTAACGCTGACAGAGTTGTGCGTTGGCCTCCCGGTCTTCCTACTGGTTGAAGTGACGGCCCCGCGCGCGGGTCCCACATCTCAGTCCCGTGCCACATCTTGACGTGAGAGAACGAGTAGGGAAAAGTCTGCAACGAAAATTCTTTTCCGTTCAAAGAGTCGTGACAGGCGCGTAAGTCTCGCGCGTAGTAAATTCAGGTGGCTTGCGGGTCCCGCAGCCTTGTCCTTTCCTCGGCTTTAAATCTGTTTCCCTCTCCCTCGCCTTCCCGAATCCCCAATTGCTCTCTCCGGTCTGCGATCGCGTCTACCTTCCGATCCCCCAGAAGTCCGAAAGGTACGCAATTCTCGTCCTAGATTTGCTCTACAGTCGTTCACATCTGCCTCACTCCCACTGCGTTCTGCCGCCGCATAATGCTTTGTATAGCTTCTCAATCGATCGACATTTTGACACTCAAGGGTAGATACCTGCTGTTTTTGATACCAAACGCCTCTCATTGGATTCTCCTTTGAAGCAATTGGGCTCTCTCTGTGTGGTTTCTGCAGTAAATCTAGAGTTCTTTCTCTGTTGAGGCAATTTGAGGTTAAATTGCGGGCGGATTTGAATTTTCTTCTTTTTTGCTTCATCAGTGTCTTTTTAGCGTCTGAGTCAAGCTGGATGCACTAACCGAATGCAGTTGAATTCCAAGTTCTATTTGTGCCTCTTCACGCTGAAACTACAATGCTAGCGTTAGTTTTATTTATTAGTTGATTGTCTAATCTGCCCTATCACTTTGTAGATCTAGAGGTTGGAAATTTTGATATGCCCAAGGCGGCACAAATTTCTACTGAATGATTCCCCAGATTACATATAATGTTATTCTATCTGGTGATGGGGATAGTGATGGATGTTATCGTACAAAATCTTGAACGTGTTAATGCTTTTATGTTATTCTAAATGGGAATGATGATCTGGTTTTGATCTCAAGCTGTTTCGCAAAGAAAATGGCACTTGATTGCAAATGCTTGGAGATGACTGACAAGGATTTAAAGGTCACAAGAAGGTTACTAAAGAGGAATTTGGTGAAAAATATGGTCTATGGTATTGTCAATTTTATGTGCCAGCCATTTCGGCATCCTTGTGCAGCATTTTTTCCTTGATACAACTGACAGTTGTATCCGGCCATCGGATACTAATTTAGTATTAGGGAAATTGGGCTTTTATCTTTCCTTTGTGTGTGTGTGTGTGTGTGGATGCACATTAGGAAAGGCATTATATTATATCCAGATGTGATCTTTTGAATGAGCAACTAGCTGATGTACAGTATGATTGATCTGTCATTCACTAATCATTAGGTCAGGCTTCTATAGGGCCAATTTGATTTACGTTTTCATGTTATTTTCGTTTACTCTTGTTACTTTTATTTCAATATATTTTATGATTATCCTGCAAGAGTAAAAAATATTTGGTCAGTTTCTTGGTAAAAATGTTAAGTCTTCTGGGATCTAAAGTAGGTTTAATAGCTCAAGCAGATCCATATGTACTGTTGGCATACTTAGGATCGGTAACTTGTTTAGTTGCGATCAATGATTATCTTTCAAATTGGAAATTGTGATGGATTGCAGCTAATAAGTTTCAGCCCTTTAATAGAAGTGCATGTTTAGGTACGATTTATGAGATGGAATACTTTTTTCAAGAAGCTAGTACTGGAGAGGGAGATTCACCTTTGTCTTTGATCAAGGTGTTTCTGCTATTTGACTTAGGTTGTCCTGAAAGATTCTTCGGGTTGAATAGGCTTTAGATTGAAAAACTGAAATTTATGGGAACTTAGGAAGATATTCTGCAGTCAATGGAGACTTTACCCATAAGGTGTGATGAAGGATGATTTCTGATAAACAATAAGGTCCCCTCTTCTGCCAAAGGAAAATATGGATTGGTTGTAATATTGTAAAATAGCATGTTTCATGCTTTGCAAATGGTTATGTCAAGACAAAATTTTTAATGGTTTTGCTGGGCTGCTTACGATTTTGTTTCTACGAGGCTCATTTATGATGCTTATAAAATTTTGGCCATAACCATTGTGATTACGTTGTCCTGAATATGACTTATGGGCAATAAATGGAACTTACAAGAAGTGGCTGTTACCATTATTTAATGTTGTCTATCATCGCCAGCATTGATATGTATTTTCTTGATTAGGATTTTAAACTAGGCGTCTGTTGGGTGTCTTACCTGTCTAGTGTTTTCAGTATCTAGTGAAGGGAGGTGCTTGTTTCTATCTCACAACTTGGTATTAATAAAGATATAATCTGGATCCTGGTAAAATAAGAGGGACTTTTGAATTCCTAAGGCTGAGATGCTAAATCACTATATATGAATTTTCCATATTTTCTGAAGATTAGACAAGCTTATTAATTATATTTTCAATTAACATACTGATAATATTTTTTTATCTTCTCCACAAGCTTTAGAGTCAAATTCTTGTATAGTTTGCTCTTAGAAATGCTTTTACCAATGGCTTGAATATGAAGCCATTAATTCAATTGTCACTGCATAGGTCACTTGAGTTTTCTAATGAATTTTATGCTATTCTTTCCTGATGATGACATTGTTGGTTAAGCTCTGCTGGTTCCGGATTTTTTATGTAAATCCATTTAGAGGTTGTAGGTACTCTGAAAATCAAAGTACTTCAACATGATTAACACTTCAGTATTGTTGCCACTAATAATTTACTATTTTTCCCCAAGAGTTTTTATTTACAGTAATATGCAAGTGAAAAAAATCCTTGTATCTATTCACATTGTCTGTTGTGTGCAATTTTGTCAACCATTTACTGCAAAAAAGAAAAAAAAAGACTGGTGTGCTCGCCATAAGAGAGCCACCAACAACAGAACACAAACAAAAAGCAAAGTCTGTCATATGTGGTAAAGTTTATGATGTATTATAGAACCAAGTTTAAGATAATACGGCAAAAATGCACTGTAATATAATTAATTTCATATCTTTAAAAATCTCTAAAAAACATTATTTGTCAATTATCTCATCGTTTTTTATGAACTGATTGTGGCTTGTTATGAGATTCCTTAAGTTTTGGCAATCCAATAGATAACTTCTGCTATTTGTATATGGTTGTGGTCTTTGATCGAGGATGAAATATCCATTGACATGCATAAGTGTACAGAACCTGTTCTAGGGTAAGACCAACTTGAAGGTGAGTGTTGTATGCATTTTCGAAGTTCTTATTTATTCAGCTGACATGTAGATGCCTATGTTATTCAAGGACTCTCCGAACCAAGAAATCATAATTTTGTGTTGGGTCCAGCCCATATATGCTTGGACTGGATGATTGGATCTTTCAGCCCAAATCAATAATTAAAAAGAGAAAAAAAAGAGACTTGCGTGCAGTAGTTGGAAGGAAGCAAAAGGTCTTTTTTTTTTGCCTGCAGCCAACGTGGCGGCGCATACGAAGAGAAAATAATAGAGAGAGAAAAAGGAGAGAGATAATTAGGATTTTGAGTTTTTCTAGTTGACGATTAGTGGTTAAACTTTATCAGTTTTGATCGAAATTATATGTGAAGAATTCTTGCAGTAAACTTTAGAATCTTAACGGTGCTAATCTATAGTTTATCATCTTTGAGATACTTTTCTACTATATCTACTTAGTGAGATCTAAATTTTTCTTTTGATGAGATTATCTATGATGATATACTATTCTTGAATCAAGTTATATGATCTTGATGTTATTCTAATCCTTTTATTTTAGAGAAGATTTATTATAAACCTGTTATCATTATTAGTAATAGTGAAAGTTTGAAGTGGATTATGGTCATATAGTTTTTTTCAGTTTTTCGCATTAAAATTTAGTCTCAATTGAATCATTGTTCTGCTGTTTATGTTGTTTTGGTTAATATATGTTTTTGATATCAAGTTGGTATTTTAACGAGGAAGACAGGAAAAAAAAATTATTTCGTTATAACATATTTTTTCCAACATTTTGGATTATAATCCAATAGATAACTTATGTCTCTAGTATTCGAGGACTCTCCAAACCAACAAGTCATAATTTTGAAGCATTATTATGATTTATCATTTAGTATAGTCAAATGTGGTCACTCTATGCACATCTCTAGTTACTCTGTCTAAAATTTATCAACTGCTCTAAAACTAGGACAGTTCTGCCACCAAAATTTATTTTATATGGGGGATGTTTCTGTCATAATCATGCCGCATTATATATGAACTTGAAGCTGTACTTTGCATAGTGTCACATCTGGTAAACTGTAGAAGTACAAATGGGACGTGGAGTGAGCAGTGGAGGGGGTCAGAGTTCTTTGGGC